GTATGACAAAACTCAATATAGACAATTTTTTGAGGACGGATGGAGTATAATATTTAATTACCACAATTTTCAATGATAGTTTTAGTGCGATTGTGATTATGCTGATTCTTCATTTCCTATACCTGGATTTCATGTTTAATTGTTTACTTTTTATTCATCTTTGAATTTATTCTGTTTGTAACATTCGTTAAACCGCAGCATTTACATGAAGATCGGATTAGTGAACTTCCGGATGAAATCCTTATATGTATCTTGTCACTTGTAACGCTTAAAGAAGTCAGCGAACAAGCATTTTGTCAAAGAGATGGAAGCATGTTTGGACTTATGTTCCTGATCTTGATTTCAACGAACATAGTAATGTATCATGGGAGAAGGTAAGTTTGGAGAATTACGTGCGTCACGCAATAAGGGAAAGGCCCAAGTTTGTTAACTGGGTAAAGAAGGTGTTGCAGTCCCATCAAACCTTGGTTTTGAATAAATTCAGAATTTATTGTTATTTCAGTGGTTCCTTTCGAGAAGAATTAGATGAGTGGCTTCGGTTTGCCTTTGACAGAGAGTTCAAAGGCTGGAAGTGAACCTTTCACACCATTGCATAGGTGAGTTCGGTGGTGAGGATTATGTTTTGCCTTGTGCATATTTTGAGCAGAGAAGTTGGAATTCTCTCAAAGAGTTGATTTTTACACGGGTATATATCTCCGGGGGCGAACTTGAACTCCTCTTGATGAATTGCAAAAATCTTGAAAGTTTGGGTGTGCATTACGCAACAGAGTTAACAACTTTGGAAATTAGGGGTCCATCTCTTGCATTACAACACTTGGAAATTTCCTATTGTCCCTTGGAAACCCTTACTATAAGCAGGTGTTAATCTTATTTCCCTTAAGATTGATCGGCGAAGCACTAGTGCTTAAGAATGTTTCCCAGATCACTCATTTTGGGATCTCCTCTACTTGTTACGTCATTGAGGATATTGTTCGTCGACTTTCATGCTGCTTTTCAAAGCTTGAGGTTCTTTCTTTAGTAATGGGTCCTTCGGTGGTTAGAGAGGTATGAATCTAGCTGATTGTGTTACTGGAGTAATTTTCTTTCCCTAGTTTTGCTCTATGATGATTTCTAAGTTCTATTTAATTATTTTTGCTGCATCCTATGTTGAGCAATTTTTTTTTTCACCCAGTATGATTGGAAAAAACTACCTCAGCTATCTGCACTGAAGCAGCTATCTCTAATGCTTGTATTAACTTCTAAAGAGAGCATGTTTGGATGTACTTCGTTCTTTAGGGCATCACCAAACCTGGAGAAGTTTGTAATACAGGTAATAGATATTTATATTTGATGTTCCTTTTCTGGCTTTAGACCCCTCAGTGTAGTTATTATTCTTTTATGTTTGATTTTTTTTTCCTCTGTACTTTCACCCTTCTAAGATCTTGTTCTGGTAATTTTGTGGTACCATTGAAGTGAACTGGTTTGTCAGCCTTATGCTTGCTAAGTGACCATGTTATGTTTCTACAGCTAGGTTACCCATTGCAAATAAGGGCCAGCAGAGAGTCGGAGAATGTTGTAAATTACCCTGTTCGACATCTTAGGGTGGTTGAGATATCTCAATTTCGAGGCCGTTCAATCGAACTCGAACTAATCAAGTACTTCCTTGAAAATGCAAGTTCCCTCCAGAAAATAACTGTTGATCCACATTACAAGCTGTTTGGATCTTTGGAATATATGGATCTATTCTCCAGCCCTCAGTTACGCAGTCGGGCAGCTGAGGTGACAAATGAGGCCAGAAGGTGTGCTGAGCAGCTCTTAGGAGGGATGCCTTCACATGTAACATTACAAATACTCTAGCTATGAACATGGGCATGATGGTCTGGTCTCGGAAGGAACTAAGCTTATCAAAATAAGCTTTGATTTCAATGTTAAGCTAAGCTCGGGAATATCTGAAAATAGCACCGAAATGTTTGATTCAAATCTTTTACTACTGAAATGTCGTAACTATGCTTTTGTTGCTGCTGTGTAATAAGACTCCCACGGATAATCAACTCAAATTGTTTTTGCCAGATTTTTAACAATCAAACTTGATTAAGTGCGGTGTGTCAAACTTTCTTGATGTTAGATACTTTTCTGTCCGAGAAAAATTGTTTATTTTGTCAATAGAATTGATCGTGCTTTTCGGATGTAGTAATATTATGTTCATAACGAAAGATGTAGCTGAAATCGATTATAATATTAGATCTAAAACATGAATACGATAGTTGCTACTCTCGCCCTACTTCAATAGTTATCCTCGTTGTTTTGTTTCATAATAAGTCAATCTATCACAGGCGTTTAATCCAAAATCAAAGTATACTTGTCTTCGCATAATCTTGAAAAAGGTCCTTCTCTTGCATTTTCTTTCTCTTACATTTGTTTCGCAATTTTCTTTCTCTAAAAAGGTCCTCTCTTCCACTTTTTTTCCCCAAAAATGCATATTTCTCCCTCTAAAAATAATTATCCAATTTTGAATATTTTTGTTCCCATGTTGCTGTTTATGCCAAAATTAATAAACAAATAGACCTTGGTACCAAAAACGAAACAAATGATTATCGATTATTAGTGGTCGAAAAATAGAACAAAACTTTCAGATTATTTCCATACATTTAGTCCAATTCAAATATTGGAACCGGTTGAAGGTTTACTCTCGAAGAATAGTACTCCCTCCGTCCAGAATAGTTTTCTTTTTTTATATATTAAGGGATCTTGAAATGGTGTGAGCATGACTTTAACGAGTTATGAAATTATTTATGTGGATATCGCATTATCTAGTTCTGTAACCAAAATTTCTCCCTTTAGTGAACATTAATTGTATCCTCATAACAAACCAAACCAAAAATACTCGCAACTGCGGTACAATGCAGTTGTAGGTCTTGTAACCTTCAAATAGCATGAGAGATTATTTACCCTGTTGTTTCACTCAGCCAAAGGATCTTTAAAGGAATTCCCGTGGAACAGTTTTGTTATATTTTCTGAAGTTAAATCTGGTAAAAGCCACAAATAAGTTCGTGATGTTATTATGTACTCAGAAATACTCCTAGGTCTCATCCAAAAGCAATTCAGAAAGCCGTATAAATTTCAAAAGCTTCAGAACATCTTGTTGGGGCTGTACTTGGAATCCATTAAGCTGCATTGTACATTCTGCATGTACTAATCTTTAGGCACTTTTGCTGGTATCTCTACCATCCAAAGATCAATTAACAGGCAGTTCCATCAATCGATTTATTGGTGATCCTAATGAGTCTAGCTATTATTTTCTCCATGGCCTTTTTCCATTTTGGTGCTGCAAAGGAAAGAATGAGTAACAGAAATAGACCATACATGACAAGCATAAAAGAAGCAACATTAGTGTGCTATATTGCGAAACCAGATGACAACCCCCAAGCTACATGAATTCTCGTTGTGATCAAAGGAGCAAAGAAAACCTCTATAACAGTAGAGCTGGAATTACTCAGAAAGTCGAACAGAGACAATGCTTAAAACAAAATATTTGGTAATGGGTAATCCAGTAGAGAGGTATTTTTAATCAGACTAAACCATAGAAAACGTCCCGTACATTTGGCCAAAAAATCATTTTCGTCCCGTACACTTCAAAATGTTCATTTTCGTCCCATTTCGTCCGTATTTTTCGATTATTTACGTCCCAAGTCAATTTTCCGTCCACTTGACCGTCAAAATGGGGGGCATTTTCGTTTTTAACCCCATTTTTCTGATTTTCCAGTAATTAAGAAATTAAATAATAATTAAATAAATTAATTAAAATATTATTATATTTATGATTATAAAAGAAAGAAAAATAAAATTCTATGCTTTAGACCGGGTGGGCCCAGTAATTTAATGTTTCTACAGTTATCTTCAGTAAAACCGTAATCATATTAAATAATAAAAATATTCAAAATTAAAGAATTTCCAAATTTAGAAAATTTGGCTGCATTTAACTTGTGGGCCGGTAGAGATTAGAAGACATGATTATTCCTGGTCTCCAAATTGAAAATTTTTTTTTTACTTGCTAAGAAGCAATTGGCGAGATGTTTTTAGCCAAAAAAGAAAAGAAATTTATCATAATATTCTGTTTAAGTGACATCCGATAAATTCTTCAGAATTTATAATTTTGGGAAAGAAGGCTCAACAGCTTTTCGATCAGTTGAATTGCATCTTCTGTTTGTTTGTATTGATTTGTTGAAATTGTTGCCGGAAAAGAAGTGAAAAAAAAAAACACAAAATCCATGATAATCCCATTAAGATATCTACTTGAACTAAATTCATACATCAACAAAATCCATAATAATCCCATTAAGAAGATTGGCCAGAACAGAACAAACGAATTGCAGATTCTAACAAGTAAAAATGTCCAAATCTCCAGAATCCCTAATTCCCCAACTAAAGAAACCCTTACCGCCGAACCCATAGAGAGTAAGGCCTTGCCTCTTGAGAGCATACACCCGTGGAGAATACCTCTTGAGAGAAACCCAAATCTCTCTTCCTTCGACCCCCTTCGCCTCCGGCAAATTCAGTCCATATCAAAATTTGACCACATAGGAGGTACAATCCCAATACAATGAACTAATCGACACAAATAAAAAAGATCCAGTCCATATCAAATTAAAAATAAAAAGTATATCCGATGGGTGCTCCTTATTCTTGAATTCCCAGGCAAAATCCTCAACAAACGAGCATCGTCGTATGCTCGGATGCCCGATTAGAACAAGATGGCGTTGTTGCTTATAAATCCTGGGAAGAAGAAGAAGAATGGATATGATGACGGTGGGGATGGCCGCAATGGCTAACTTTGGGTTGTGGAAAGAGAGAGAATGGGAAAACGCGGTGGTCATAGCCTCAGAGGGAACACGATATTAAGGAAAAAACTACTATTAAATTAACTTTAGGATTACTGTAGCAACGTGGGTAAAAGGTTAAATGGAGTCAAATTTTTTTAAATTTCGAATTTTGGTTTCTTTATTATTTTAATATATTTACGATTTACTGTAGCTAATAATAAAAAATTATATCACTAGGCCCCAGCGGGTAAAAGATATAAAATTTAAAAATATTTTTAATTAATTTTATTATTATTTTATGTCTTAATTACTGAAAAATAAAAAAGGGCTTAAAGACGAAAATGTCCCCCATTTTGACGGTTAATTAGACGGAAAATTGACTTGGGACGTAAATAGTCGAAAAATATCGTTTTTTGGACAAAATGGGATGAAAATGAGAATTTTAAAATGTACGGGACGAAAATAATTTTTTGGCCAAATATACGAGACGTTTTCTGTAGTTTAGTCTTTTAATCATTGTTATCCACTTACATCTCTTTTCCATCACGGGCAAGGCAATTAGGGCGAAACTAAGCTTTCAACATACATCTTCGCTTCTTGAATAAAATCTACCTGATGATACCTCCTCAAAGTGTTGGTCTTTGGGTCACAAAGATACAAAGTTGAGCGCAAAACACACAATATTTCACCATTCTTTGATGTACAAACCGGTTGACTGAAGTAAGAAATAGGATCATCCCCATAACGAGCAGAAACTGAAAGAACTTTGATCCAAGAGTCCTTCCGTAACCATACATCTACATGAGTACCTCCATAATCATAGATAACATAAAGACAGCCTCCTATCTCTCCAAATCCATAGTCATATTAGCTATCGTTGTTCTTTGGGGGACGGTCCATGATCCCATACGTTTCATTCCCCAAATCGAAACTAGCAATCATCCAATCGTCAACTCCATCATTGGTAGACCAATAAAAGGTTCCACTCACATAATGCACCGGTTTGTCATACGCTGGAGTAATGACCTCCAAATCCTCAATCTTGCGCCAAGAACTAGTTTTAACACTGTACATATTGACTTTATTGTCCACAAATTCAACCACTTTATAGTCGTCATTCAAGGAATCATAACCAAATCCAAGAGTGTTACTTTTTCTGATTTCAGACCCAGGCAATTTCTTAAATTTCTTAGTACAAGGGTTACACAAAATCAACTCCCTATCCATATTAATCAAGCAGACAAGTCCGTTACAAGAATCTACCACCCAAAATAACTCATAAGGTTGTAATATATAATCGATATTAAATACCTCAGCAGCAGCGGTCGTTTCATCGAACACCTCATTCAGCAAAGAACTCGCAGAGTACAGCCGGTGTTGGAATCTATTGTCCGTGAACTCATACAAGATGAGACGGTGGTGGGAAAAATCATCACTTTCAGCTGAATCGGCGAGATGGGTTTTGATAAATCCTTGGCTTGAGATCAAAGAAAGCCATGGTTTTGAAACACACTTGAATTTCCCCAAGGATTTAGCTGGCAGTCTTGAAATGATTTCAATGGCGATTTCGTCGGGGAAATCGGGCATCAATAATTCGGGGTCTGATTCGAGATTAGGAGTAGAGGAAGAAGAGGGACAGTCCTCCATAAGCTGATTGATTTGGTTTCTATTTGGTGGGTCTGATTTGGATTCCATGGCTGCTTGGGACAGTCTGGAAATGGGTTGAATTTTCTCGCTTCTGTATTCTCACTATTGGGGAAGACTGCGAAGTAAACCCGGAAATGGATGTGCTTGAAAAGAGTAAAAGGAGTGTATATTTTTTTAAAAAAAAAAAACTAAAATGTTCAAACAGTCCTTACAATTGGGCCTACTCGAATTTACGTCCCTTATATTAACATTTCAATATCGTAGTCCCAGACATTATGTTTTCACACTTTTTAGTCCCATTTCACTGTTTCCGCCATTGACATGCGGAATCGGGGATATTTTTGTCTTTTAATTTAATTTAAATTTTTATTAAAATTTAAATCATTAAAAATATTTTAAAATTCAAATTTCATTATTTAATTGTTAAAATATTATTTATAATTAAAAATATTATTGTACAATTTTAAAATTTCTCATTATTTTCAAAATTACTTTTTTTATTTACTATTTACTTTAAGTACACATTAAATAGTAATTATGTTGCACTTTTAATTTTGGGTCCACTGTAACTTAAAAAATTAACCAAGTTACAGTAAATAATTCAAAAATTCAATTATTTTTTTTTAAAAAAAGAAAAATAAAAAGAAAAACTTTTCTTTACTCTGACCGCTACAGTAAACCCTAAATGGTAATTATGTTACACTTTTAACATTGTACCCACTGCAACTTAAAAAATATACCGAGTTACAGTAAATAATTCAAATTTTTTTAAAAAAAAAAGAGAAAACAAACCAAGATTTTTTTTACTTTGACCGCTACAGTAAACCCTAAATGGTAATTATAATACACTTTTAACCTTGGACTCACTGTGACTTAAAAAATTACCGAGTTATAGTAAATAATTCAAAATTCAATTTTTTTTTAAAAAAAAAAGGCAAAACAACGATTTATTTTACTCTGACCCCTATAGTAAACCCTAAATGGTAATTATGTCGCACTTTTAACCTTTGATCCATCAGTAACTTAAAAATTTACCGAGTTACAGTAAATAATTCAAAATTCAATTTTTTTTTCAAAAAAAAGGAAAATCGAGATTTTTTTTACTCTGACCGCTACGTTATTTTTTTAACGCTGGACCTACAATAACTTAAAAAATTGATCGAGTTACAGTAAATCATTCAAAATTAAAATTTTTTTTTTAAAAAAAAGAAAAAAGCAAAACAAAGTAATTGACCGCTACAGTAAACCCTTATGTTGCACTTTTAACCTTGGACCCAATGTAACTTAAAAAATTTGTCGAGTTACAGTTAATAATTCAAAATTCAACTGTAGCAGTCAAAGTAAAAAAAAGATCTTGGTTTTGTTTTTCTTTTTTTTTTTAAATGAATTTTAAATTATTTACTGTAACTCGGTAAATTTTTTAAGTTATAGTGGGTCCAAGGTTAAAAGTGCAACATAATTACCATTTAAGGTTTACTATAGCGGTCAGAGTAAGAGAAAAGTGGTTTGGCTTTTTCTCTTTTTTTAAATAAATTGAATTTTGAATTATTTACTGTAACTGGCTAAATTTTTTAAGTTACAGTGGTTCCAAGGTTAAAAGTACAATATAATTACTATTTACTTTGACCTAAAATAAATGATTAACGAAAAAATTAATTTTAAAAATAATGTAAATTTTAAAATTTTATAATAATATTTTTAATTAATAAATAATATTTTAACAATTAAATAATGAAATCTGAATTTTAAAATATTTTTAATGATTTAAATTTTTATTAAAATTTAAATTAAATTAAAAGAAAAAAATACCCCTGATTCCGAAATGTCAACAGTCGGAAATAGTGAAATGGGACCAAAAAAGTGCGAAAACATAATGTTTGGGACTACGATATTGAAATGTTAATGTAAGGGGCGTAAATTCAAATAGGCCCAAATGTAAGGGACCATTTGGACATTTTAGTCTTAAATATTTATTTTTGGGGAATTTTGTGTTTATCTATTGACTGTTATACCCATTTTTTAAATCGTTGAAATCATCGGGAGTCTCTCAGCCAATCAAAATATTAGTTTATCATTGGAATATAATTGGCACCGGTTCTTTTATAAGAATAGGGATAATAGGGATTATTAGTACAACGAAGGAGTCCAAAACCTAAGAAACTAAACTATTTTGTGAATGGGAACTTCTAACAAAGTCATGTTCTAACCACATAATTAAGATCAAGCCTAACAAGAAAGAATCAAACGCTTCTCTTCTGGGTTCAATGCAAGAGATGACCACGAAATTTCACAAACTAATCTCTACTTAGTACTTTGTTAATAACTCATATGATCTCTTTATAAATACACAATACATCCTCTTAATCTTGTGACATCCATAATTCAAATAATGCCACCACGTCTAAACCATTCTTTTTAACTTACTTTGTGAATGAAATCCTAAATTTAAGAAAATAAAATGTTTGGTTATTTAATTTATTTTTACCTCTTACTCTCCGGCCATCACATGCTCACTAATATCCTATCCTAACTGCACTCTATAATATCTTACCCAAACATATAGAATATAAGAACATTACCAATTTTTTTTCTTTTTCTAGTGCAAAACATATTGCTACATGCTGTTTAAAAATCATATACATACATGTCTAAACCAAAATATATGTAAACCCGTAATCATTTATATAAAATACTCCCTCTGTCCTAAAATTATTGTCTAGTTTGAGATTTCACTTTTGGTACAATTTGAACTAAAAATGAAAATTCAAACTAGACAATAATTTTGGGACGAAAGGAGTAATAATTTACTCTCTTATTATATTATCGTAAAGCAAGATATTGAATTTTTGCTAACATAATGTTCATTTTAATCAAGTTATGGTCTAGCAAATAACGGGTTTGATTAGTATACAAGGAAGCAAAAAATGAAGGGGAAAAAAATGAAATAAATTCGGTTTTGTGTCAAATTATATCCGAGTAGTTTTAAGTTTTCTTTTTCATCATACACTATAAAGTAACACAGACGGTTGATTACACAGAGTAAGAAAACAGAGTGCGAGATATAACCACCATGGCGAATCAAGCCTTCTCTGATGTGCGCACTAAACAACCGTCGAAGATGGAATCGGCGGTCCAACTCCACCAGACAACTTCCTCCGGCAGCCGACTCCTCCACAACGGCTTCGCTAAAGTCCCACATTCAACTACTGGACTTACCGGGACTCTTCCTGCTCTGTTTCCGGGAAAGAATCGTTCCGATCAACTCTCAGATGGTTCTTTGGCGGATTCGTTGATCAAGAACCCATTGCCGGACGAAGACCACGGAGTGCAGCCGTCTAAGGAAACTCTTCACCGTACATACTCTGAACCCATTCCGGCAGTTGCAATCGCCGCCACCCCCAGGCCTCCCGGAGCTGCGAGAGAGGTTTCTTTTCCGGCTGGCCTTCCGAAAAGGCCTAATACTAAGGTTGTTTCTTGGTTCTTGAAGATAATGTAACTCTGTTAACTTTATATTTCTCTGATTTCGAACCAAAGTTCCTTCCTTTTATCTTTACCCAATTTAATGGTCCAATTAACCTTGATTTTGTCAATGTTGCAGAGTTTTGGAAGATTGCCGGAAGAACTTATGAGAGAAATGGGTTGCCGGAGAAGCAATATACTCTGTGTTGATTCGGCGATTGGTGGTCAATTTCAGAGCTCGATCAAGAATTCCTTGCCCATTTCGACGCAGGCGTCTCCCAAACCTCTTTACAGTCTATGCTCCGAACCCACTCCGGCGGTTGCAAAGTCTGCCACTCCGGTAGTTTCTCGGTTCTTGATAATTACGTAGCAAAAACTGTCTCTGATTTTGAACCAAAGTTTTGCCCTTTCTGTTATGTGCTCAATTTAATCATCCAATCGATCTTGGTTTTGTTAATTTTTCAGAGGTTTGGTATATTGCCGGAGGAACGACTGGGTTCTACGGTTAAAGAACAACAAAGCAGAGCACCCAGTGTTGATCTTGGGACTAGTGGACAAATTGAGGCGGCGCCCAACAATTCCGTGCCGGAGGAGGTTACATCTTTACCCATTCCGGCGGCTTCTCAGGCGGTGGCTGCAAAAGTTTCTGTTACAGGTGGCGTTGTTCAGAAGCAAGAAAGCCCTGTTACTAAGGTGGGTTTCTCAGTTCTTCACAATTTTGTTTAACTCTGTTAAAACAAATTTGATCTTTGATAGGAATGTTCTTGCTTTCTTTACTGCCGGAAGTAATTGAATCCGAATTCGAGTTTTCAGGGGTTCAGGAAAATCACAGATGGACTGAGAAGCTGGTTGAGGAACTCCCTCTTCGCCGGTGAAGCCTCAGCCATGGCGACACCCAACAATCCGGGGCTTCCAACGTCCTTTCCTCCACCACGCCGTCCTCCGATTCCGGATCCACCGCCGTTCTGGAGATCCATCTTCAAGCTTCCGCTCATTCGCACAAAACTCCCAGACGTTAGCCTCACCACTTCTTCTCCGGCACCACTTTCAGCGCCCCTTGCACCACGCCCATCAGGAGATCAACTGAGAAGGATAGTAGTACTAACTTGTTTGGACGATTGCCAAAGGCTGAGGTTTCAGTATCAACATCAAAATTTCCGTCCGTCCCTCCTCATCATCCAAGCCGCCGACCCTGATGTAGTGCAATCGATGTATGACGAAGTTCGGGAGCTGGAGATTGATACTCGATTTGGACCCGTATAGAAAGAGAGGAGGACGATTAAGGATATGTTGTAGTTGTTGCATTAGGGGTTTTGCTTTCTTTTCAGTAGTAAAGTTGCCACTCCACTGTAATTCCATTAGGATATCTCTACTGCTTTCCAAATTATAATTTCCATTTGCATCTGCAATCTGCAGTTGGAAAAATCCCAGTATAATTCCATTTGCATTTCACTTTTACCGATAGTAAACTGGAGATAACAAATCCATTTGTTCCTCTTTTCTTCCCTACATTATATTCATCAGATTTAAATGTTTCGACCCACTTTTAATTGAGAATTCTATGAGTGTCAAAGGGAAGCAATCACAATTATACTTTATATAAATTTCATTAGGATTTTTAATTTATAGTTTTGTTTTCTTCATAATCTATCAATTCTTTTTTTAAAAGGATCGTTTATGTATGGGAAATTGTATATAGTGAAAGGGTTGTATAAAA